AATAAAGCAAAATGAAATAAAATAAAATTGAGGGGCTCTGGCTAACACTTCCATACAGGTATATGGAAGATATTTGCTTTTCAGGCCTAAAAGCCTGGCAGGCCTGACATTCTGAAAGAGTCCTGGCTAGTTAAGGGTTGAAGGAAACAGAATGACAATTTAAGCTATTCCTTTAAAACTATTGCTGTGATAAGTTCCCCAAGCAAATCACACATACAGCTCACCCACTCAAGACTGCATGCAAAGAAGTGGGTTTATATCCAGAAAGCTCAAGCAAAAATCATAAAATCATAGAATTGGAAGAGACCACAAGGGCCATCCAGTCCAACCACCTGCCACGGAGGAACTCAAAATCAAAGCATCCCTGACAGATGGCCATCCAGCTTCTGTTTAAAGACCTAAAAAGAAGGAGACTCCACCAGACTCTGAGGGAGAATGTTCCACTTTTGAACAGCTCTCACTGTCAGGAAGTTCCTCCTAATGTTCAGAAAACAAGATAGTGTCCTCCTCAATATGACATCCCTTCAAATATTTAAACAGGGCTACCATATCCCCTCTTAATCGTCTCTTCTCCAGGTTAAACATCCCCAGCTCCCTAAGTTGTTCCTCATAGGGCTTGGTCTCCAGACCCTTCACCATTTTAGTTGCCCTCCTTTGGACATGTTCCAATTTCTCCACATCCTTTTTAAATTGTAGTGCCCAGAACTGGACACAGTATTCCAGGTGGGGCCTGACCAAAGCAGAATACAGTGGCACTATTACTTGCCTTGATCTAGATACTATACTTATATTAATGCAGGCTAACATTCCATTGTTTTTTTTAGCTGCGGCATCACACTGTTGACTCATGTTCAACTTGTGGTCCACTAGGACTCTTAGATCCCTTTCACACATAGTCTTGTTAAGTCAGGTGTCCCCCATCTTATATCTAGTTCATTTTTATTTATTCATTTATTTTTTTGTATCCCAATACCTAGTTTTGGGCCGTTACTGCAAGCACCTCCATTTTTTTCTGGATTCAGTCTCAATCTGTTTTTCCTCATCCAGTCCATTACTGCCCTAAGACAGTCATTGGGAGGAGACATGCCATCAGAAGTCAAAGCTGATGACCGAGACATGAAGAAATACATCTGGGTGTCATCAGCATACTGATAATACCACCCCCCATGTCTCCAAATGATCTCTCCCAGCAGCTTCATATATATATTAAACAACATCGGGGACAGAATGGCGCCTTGAGGGACACCACAATTAGGCTCTTTTCTTGTAGAACAACTGTCCCCAAGCCTCACCCTGTGAGATCTGCCTGAGAGGAAGGAATAGAATTGAAGTGCCTCCAATTCCTAACCCTCCCAGGTGATCCAAAAGGATGGTATGATCTATTGTATCAAAAGGCGCTGAGAGGTCCTATAGCACCAACAGGGTCACATTACCCCTGTCGATGCTAAGACAGAGGTCATCAGCCAAGGCAACCATGGTAGTCTCCACTCCAAATCCTGTCCTAAAGCCAGTTTGAAATTGATCTAGATAATCGGTTTCCTCCAAGACAGCTTGGAGTTGAAGAGCAACCGCCCTCTCGATCACCTTGCTTTTAAAAGGTAGTAATGAAACTGGCCTGTAGCTATTCACATCCAGGGGGTCCAGGGAAGATTTTTTTCAGAAGTGGCCTGACTGCCGCTTCCTTCAGACACTGTGGAATATATCCTTCCCTGCAGGATGCACGGACAATGTCCCTGAGGAACATCCTCAATGCATTCC